AACCACCCTCCAACAGCGCAAACCACGTCGCTTCCTTTGTAACGCCTGGGACAGATTAGGCAGGGGCTTCGTGTGAAAGACACGGTCAAAGAAACAAAGGCAACTCAGGAAAGCGCAGAATTTAGACTGCGTCTTCAAGCTGCGCAAGAAGTTTCCGAGAGACGCGCTGTGAAAGCATGACCAGTGTCTGCTTAACCTGGCTCCCTTCCCCCCCGATTGTGGCACCCCCTCACTGTTCTGCCTGGGCTGATCTAAAGCAGCTTCCAGTCTTAAAGCCCACCACTTCCAGGCCAGCAGGGTGAGGGACCTCCCTGGCACCTGGAAATGCACCCTGAGCACTCTGTGCATCCCTCAGAGCTCTGTCCTGCTTCCAGAGACGCTTGGGTTCTCAGACTGGGGGGAATCCACTGCAGGGTGCAGGTAATACTGTGATTTGATAAAAGCAGAAAAAAAAAAGTTAGCCTAATGAACACAGGAATGGCTCACTTATCAAGACTCCAGCAAAGTAAACGGGCAGAAAATAGAGCCTACTGGTACCACTCATCTTATTCTCAATCAGCTCACTTACTCCACCAATATGGACCATTTACTCACTGGAAGGGGCTTTAATAGCTATTTAGAAGTGTGAAACAGAGACCAGCCTTTCACCCACCTGTGCGACACCCTTTTTAAAAAAAAAAAAAAAAAAGAAATCAAGTCTCTGGGCACACACAGCAGTTCAAGCTCGTGGGATTCTTTGTGCCAGCCTTCCACATCCCAGTGCGCTCAGCACCTAGAGATTACTTTGCCATACAAAGAAAATGTACTTGAGTTTTCAAAACAAGTCATTTTGGGAAAGTCTGCACCTAAAAAATGGCCTTGAGGACTGGGATATGGCAGAGGAGCTCAAACTCACCGTCACTACTGAGGACTTTCTGCAAGGTAAGAGCTTCAGGGGGACTGATTGACCTGGCTTCCTTTTAAAACGACTCCCGTCTCCAAAACTCAGGTGAAAACTGTAAAATCTGGTTAATAGTAAGTTCCAGCCTAGAATGTTTAAATGTGATCAGATCAAATTAGAAGCGTCTGCAATTACGTATAAGGCAAGCGTGTGCAGCTCACAGAAAATGAGGCTGACACAAAAAAGATAAGCTCCCACCACGTCTCTGGGCCCCCCACGTCTACCAGCTCCTGATGGGACCCTCTGCCATCGCATGCTGCCATGGCAAGCTGACCCCTCAGCACACGGGTGCTCACTGCTGGGGGCACTGCCTGATGCGAGAGTTAAGTTTGGGACCTGGTGTTACCTAGAGAGGCTGGTGGTGTTTCAGGGAATGGCCTGGGAAAGGGGCTTTTCTTTTGCCAGCCAGAACATCTGTGTCCAGACCGGAATTTTTCTAAGCTTCCTTAGAAAATGTTGAAGCCCATCTCTCAAGGAGAAGGATATAATGACATGGCTAGGCCTGCAGACACACCTCCCTCCGAACGCAACCTTTTGGGTGGATAAACTTGGGAAAGGAGGACCGATGGGAGTAATTTATACTCTTCTGGCTTTGCAGGGCAAAGACAAATTTCGGAGCCGAGCGCGGCAAGAACATGCAGGCATGCACATTGCTGTGTGCAAAACAGGAAATAAAACGCTATTTAGAGGGACGAGGAGGCAACTGGGGACCTTTGCCTTGGCATTTGCATTGTGGCATTTGCTTGCCAGGCTGCCTCTGGACAGCAGGGCCTAGAAACGGTCCTCAGGTAGGACCATCGGGGTGACGTTTCTCCTTCTCCTTAGACCCTAGCGTTCAGCCCCACCTGTGGATGTGGGTAAACCCCAGCCTGGTCTGCCCCATCTCCGGGAGCCCTGGCATAGACCTGGCCAGATCCAGTAGCCTGGTGGCCTCGGCTGCTGGTGCCACAGAAACCTCCTCTCCGAACACATCCTGGGACTACTCCGACCCGGACTGCTCCGAGGAGGATGTGCTGTCATCCTCCAGTGAGGCTGGAAAGGTACAAAAAAAAAGGAACTGCTTGGGCGGTCCTAGGCATCGTGTGCGCTTAACGAACCTGCGAGAACAAACGAGCTGGCTCAGCAGCTCCGCGAGCGGTTGCCTCCTGTTTCAGCAGGGGGCTGTCAATGCACAGGCTGAGTACAAAGTGCGGGGGTGCAGGCTGAAATTTTAAGTATGTAGGTTTTCTATACACACTCTGCCAGACCCACCCTCCCCTAGAACAAAGCAGCTTATCCCTCTCCCTCGTTCCACCCGGGGCTAATATATCCACATCCTTTCTCTCCTTCCTCTCCCCAGCTCACTGAGGATGAAGATGCTTCTTGTGCGGACATCCCAGTTCCTCAGGAGACGGCGGAAATTCCCGGACTCAAGGCAATGCCGGTGCCTTGGAAATCCACAGTCCTCAGACCTCAGAGCATGAAGCTCAAGCGCCCCAGGCAGACGAGCACCAAAATGGAGGGAGGCTGGCTCCGTCCCCCCCTTAATTACTCCATCCTCATCACCCTTGCCCTGTGCAACAGCGCAAGCGGCAGTCTGACCGTACAGCAGATCTACCAGTTCATACGGTATCCACTCTTCTCCCAGCTCCTAGAGCAGAATGAGGGGAAGAGGGACAATGAGGGGTACAGGGGTCTCGGATCTTCTACTGGGGAGCAGGGATGTGGCAGCCAGGACTCACATTTGGGTCTCGGCTCTGCCTTTGGCTCAAGGTGCCGCTGAAAAAACTGCTTCCCCTCTTTGTAAACGCCCAAACCCACGAGTCGCGAGAGCCGGTGTTTTAGTTTTGTCTCACCCTCCTTAGAAAACTCAGTGCTCAACTGCGCTGGCAGTCAACAACACCACAGGGGTCAGGGAGGACCCTCTGCTCCCTCCCTCGCTCGGATATGGTGTATTTGGTTATTCACCACAGCCTTTAAGTGCTTCAGCTCAGGACAAATCTTTTCTCCCTGCAGGCAGCACTTCCCATTTTTTCGAATGGCCCCACAGGGCTGGAAAAACACAGTCCGACACAACCTTTGCTTCAGCAGCTGCTTTGAGAAAACCACTGGCTTCGTACGCGGAGAGGGAAAGCGCAAGTCCTGCCTGTGGAGACTGACTCCAGAAGGACACAGGAAGTTTCAGGAGGAAGCAGAGGCCCTGCCCAAAGAGACTCTCGACTTGGTGCACCAAAGCATGAGCGAACCAGGTACGTTTCAGAAGGCAGGAGCCCTGCAAAACGCAGGGCGGGTCAGACTTTACAAGATTCCCACGGCAGGAGGGATACAGGCGGGCCCCCCAGCCAGTACGCAGTCAGCAGGACTGCAGCACGCTAGGTCTAGGAGGTGATACCAGACGCTCGGAGATCCCTGTAGGGATACCTCCACGAGCAGGGCTTGGTCACCAGACTGGCCAAGAACCCTTCTTTAATGAAACAAACACAGCGAGAGAAACAAAGCAGACGACTACATTAAGCCACAAAGCCTTCATCTTGGTGTCGCGTTGCTCAGCAATACAATACCTGTCAGTTTAATATAGGTAAGGACTGAGGCTGTAGCATCAGCGCCCGAGCAGACGTTATGCTCCAAGTGACTATCGCA